GATTATGGATCAGAAGAATCCTATTTTTGAATTACTACCTTCGTCCCTGAGTATTTGTCCTGGTTTGACTTTTTTGATTAACTATTTTCTACATTTGACTTATAATTAAATAAAATGTATATTATATATTAAGTAGATAAAATAATGTTTTGAAAATGAATGATATAATAAATCATATAAAACTAATTTTGTATCAATATCTAATATCATTTTTTTAATTTAAGGTCAAAATTTACCAATTTTGACAAAAAAAGTCAAAAATAGACAAGTACTCAGGGGCAGATGGAGTATACAATTATAAGGTCGGTAATTTAGGGTTTTTAAATTAATGTGAGGAAAAAGAATCATTGGATCATAAATACTTTTTTAATTGATATATTTTTGAATTTATACAGGGGAAAAAATTATAGATTTGTAGAAATACATCAAATCTAGATCATTTACATTTGACCTTTAAATAACATGCCAAATAAAATTCAAAATCCACAATGTGAAATCGAAAAAAAATTTGTCCGAACCCGTGCGTGGCACGGGTAGAAATACTAGTTGAAATAAATTAGGCAAACATACCCAGGAGAACAATTTAAATTGAAAAAGGGCGGTACAAAAAAAATCTAAATTCATTTTTAAAATATAATTAAAATAGTGGCGAAATTGTCCCCCCCCTTTTTTTTTGAGAGACTTGTCCCCCCTTAATATCAAATAAGAATAGCATCAGAATTATCCCCTCCTAATTATAAAACAAAAAAATAAATTAAATTAAAAGGCGTCCAACTATTCTCCCACTAATAGAAGTATAAAACACTAACACAGGGGGGACTTTTCCCCTTCTTTATTACACCGTATTTTTTTAAAATTTAACTTTATTAATTATCTACTCCAAATATTCAAATACTTATACATATATGTGGATGTGGTGAAGAAGACTGAAAATAAGGAAACGGAGCAAGAGGGAGACGCCCCTCGTTCTTCACGGATCCCCGCCGACCAGAGGACGACGAACTCTCGTCGCCACGTAGTTCTCAGCTCACGTTCTCCCTTCGTCAATCGCGCACTAGTTCGCCGGAAGGAAACAGCAGTGTCACCTTTCTCCTTCGATCCAAGGTTGATTTCTTCGATTTTCGAGGTGAGTCGTGGTTTCTATGCCTATAGTTAGGGTTCATCCGTAGATTAGGACTTCCTTGATGTATAATCTTGCAATTGATTGTGAATTTGGTTGTGTGTTGATTGAATTGACTTTAAAATATAAAATAACAAATTTAAATTGAGAGTATTGAATGATAACAAATTTATCCAGTTTGATTCTAAAAATTCAAACAGAACATTCTAATTATTCAAGAAAGAATAATTAATGACAAATGTTTAAATTTTTTTTTTTTAAAAAAAATTGTCTAGTTTGATTAAAATTAAAATATCTTAAAATGCATGACTTGGATTTCAAAAAAAAATTAAAAAGAAATTGTGCTAAAATATAAGAAAAGGAAAAAATAATATAATCCTTTCGTCTATATTTTTTTCCAGCTTCTATTTTTCGTACATCCAAGAGTCTTCTTCCCCTTTTCTTCTTAAGAATATCTTTTATTCAAAAAAAAAACATTATTAACTCATTAGCTACTACCCACCCATCACCTACAATTAGGGATGACAAGAGGTCGGGTTCGATCGGGTTTGAGTATATCGAAACCCAACCGAATTAGGCCGAATTTGGATTTGATTTTGGCGGATCGATTTCAAACATTTATTTTTTCAGTTCGGATTCGGTTTAGATTTTGGTCGGGTCGGTTACGGTGGGTTTGAATACTAATAAAAGTGTTCATGAAAAAGTATAGATTGAAATACATTAAAATTTTAAAGACGACATAAAATTTAAGATATTAACAAAAATAGTAATGATTGAATGACTTTCAAAAAAATAAATAGTAAGTTTCAACTAATAATAGATAGAGTACGAAAAAATAACATAGGGGTGGCACAAGATGTATACACAATAAAAATACAAGAAAAACAAAAAGAAATGCAATAAGTTTTAAAGCATTCAAAACATGTGTGTCAAAATACATGGAATACATAAATTGAGGGTTTTAAAAAGTTTATTGAAAGTCGGGTACATGTTGGGTCAGTTTGGGTGGGACCAAACCCGACCTGATAAGAGTCGAGTTCGACTGAAATTTTTTCAGGCCAATTTCATGTATTTAATTTTTTACTTCAGATTTGGATATTATAAGTTTTGATTGCGTTGGTAAAGGTCGGATTTGGGTAGAATTACCATCCCTACTCACTATACTCTTTTAGTTTGTTTAATGATGTGATAGAATACTTTCTCTTCAAAGATTTTCCTTCCCACTTCTTTTTTATCCATTTAAAAAATTTTCTCATGTTTCTTTTTTTGACAAATTTATATGTATAATAACCATAATGATCTTTTGACTTATTTAATTTTTTTTATGTGAGAAGATTGATTCACAAAAATAGTATGCACCCAAGGTGCACCAAAGAAGCACTTATCAAAATTATATTATGATTGAGATAACTAAGATACTCTATTGAAAAATTCATAGTTCTTACCTTCTAACCCTTTCTAAACCCCTCAGGCCCTCACCATGTCTCTCTAGGAGTAGTTTTTAATATATAATTTTTATTTTTAAATTCTACACCATTATCTATATAAAATGATTTAAAAATAAATTCAATCAAATATCGTAACGCGCAACGAGAAGTTTATTTATGGACCGGGAGAGTATAATAAAGCCCTTCCACTGTCTAAGAGAAGTTTATTTCTTTTTCTTCGGATTCCGGAATCCGATTCCACCCCTCCCCGTCCTTCGTCTGCGAGGTAATTCATTTTCAGGCTCCGTACATTCAATTCTAATTCTCTCTGTAACAATAATGTTGAACTTCTCTATCAATTCACTTCTCTATCAATTCTTTCTAAATGTCTGCACCCGATGATGCTGATGGCCTATTTGCACAATTTTACCTTCTGATTGGAGCTGTTCTAGGGCTGGGTTCTTACAACTTTTACCTTCAAATCACAGCTCCCGGACTCTAGGTTCCCGTCTCAGAATCCATATTTTAGTTAAATTGATAGTTGTGTTTAGACTCCACACTTCAATTTTGATTCTGATGGTGTATTTGTGCAGCTTTATATTCTGATTAGGGCTGTTTTAGGGCTAGTTTTTTTTCAACTTTTAACTCCAAATTATAGCTTCTAGACTCTAGGTTCTAGTCTCAGAATCCATATTTCGGTTATACATAAAAATTGTATTCAGACTCCAACGCGCAACGAGAAGTTTATTTCTTTTTCTAATTTATCTTTGCCCAATGCCCACCACCACCCAACCATTATCTTCTTCCCTTTCTTCGCCCACCACTGACAACTCATCCAAGCCTCTTCGGTCATTGTTGCATCACCCTCTGCTGTAGCAACAGGTAATTAGTGAAATCTGGGGAGCGACGGAGACTTGATGGAGGTTTGATGAACATGCATGGGAAACAATGGAGATCTGATGGGGATTCGAGCAACGAATATTTGACAAAATCATATCGCTTCATCACGGGAAGTATTATCGCTGATCTGTGTTTTGCCCTGGAGGTGAGCATTTGTTCTCTTCATCACTGGTTTACACCAACTTCATTGATTGAATTGCTTTCTACGTGCTTTGTTTTCACTTTATTTATACCAAGGCATGCGTATAATAAATCGGTTCACTTTTTAGCAAGTGCTCTTTTAACAATCTTGTTTTTTAAGTCATAAGTTCAATTATTTTAAAAAATGCAATTTTTAAAGACCTGTTTAGTGAAGGTAAATTTACGTAAATAGCACTAAAACATAATGACTTTCCCTAAATACCATCATATGTGTTTTTTCCCAATGTAGCACTTTTAGTCATTATTCATTAGTCATTATTCAAGTAAATGTTCGCCATCACTGGTCATTATGGACATTATAAAGTGCTATTAAGGGAATAAAACAATTTAAATGCTATTTAGAGAAATGACTTAATGTTTAGTGCTATTTATTGCAAATATTTCTTTAGTAAATGTTTAGGTTCATGAAATCAGATTTTTTAAATATTTAAATGAAAAATTTCTAATGGGGAGTATTATATAAAAACTTTATTCCCTCTCTTCCGCATAACTTTTTTTTTAAATTTGTGTTTTGATTGTTTATTTGATAAAATAAAACATTTTTGTCACCTCATGTTTAGTAAAACATTTGATTTAATTTTAAATATGTAAATTTTATTTTTTATTCTTATATCAATTCTTTTTAAACAGTAATTACATCTTTATTACTTAACATCCAGAAGCTCAACATACATATAGTTTATCTCAACTACAAACAAGGCTTATACTTCATCACTTTCAAATAGTTAAAGTAATATTTAACGTAGTTAATTGCTTGCAACTTAAACTCCTCTTCCTTCTTGTTTTGGTTCCTCTTCTCATTTCCCCACTTCCAAACATGATAAATGCATGAAGCCCACACTGCTAACCAAATCCTTCTTGATCCACAGCCCTTTATACTTTGAATTATCCCCTCTACTTCCTCCTTGGATCTGGCATTCATTTGCAGCTGAAATTCCTCCATTACAGCCCTATAGAAAGGCTGTGCAACTTCACAATCCCAAAATAGATGCTGCATGTTCTCATCTTCTTTTTCACAGAGGTCACATTTGAAATCTAAGTTCAAGAACTTGCCAAATCTATCCTTAGTCTGTAATCTTCCTCTCTAGAACAGCCACATGATAAATCTGAACCTGGGTGGGGTGAATTTATTCCACACCCAATCCCTCCAGTGTGGTTTGGTTTGGTCAGCTTGCAGCCAATTTTACCCATCCCTCACCTTATATTCCCCTATTAGGCATATCAGAAAAATTTATTTCTCACCCTTACCATTGCTTTCCAGTAATGGCATGAACCGAGTTTAGGTACATATTTCCAAAAATCACAGCCCTTAATGTATTTGGCATGGATCCATTTCACCCAGAGCATGTCTTTCTTACCCGCAACATCCCAGTTTAATTTCATGATGGCAGCAGAGTTCCATTGCATAACATTCCTAATCCATAATCCACCATATTTCTTCAGCTTGCATACATCATACGAATGGACTAGTGTTACCTTCTTATATTCAGCTGTACCCCCCATAAAAAGTTCCTACACACGGCCATTATCTTATGTATCATATTAAATTTCTCCTTGTGAAGTTTCCTAAGAGGCTCTTTAAGCCTTCTTAGGTTCTGAACCACTTGGTACATACTATTTTGGTTTGGTTCTTCCTTCCAGACCCTTTGCATAATTTGAGAAAATTCCTCATCTTCCATCCACATATTACAGAAGCTAAAATACCTGCCCCACAGTTGAAGTCCTTGATTAGTATGGGTGAATGGTCAGATATATCTTCATCGAGTATCAGGGTCTTGGTCTTATAACAACTCATCCAGTCAATATCTACCAAAGCCCTATCCAGTTTAGAGAAGATTCTGTGGCTCTCATCTTGTTTATTAGACCATGTGAAAAAGGATCCTTCACAAGGTAGTTCTTCCAAACCACACAGTCCATAACACAATCCTTAAACTCCTTAATATCATCATCTACCACAGGGGTACCCCCCATTCTGTCCCCAACATTCAATACACTATTAAAATCCCCAATGCAACACCATGGTCCATTAGTGTTCATTGCATACTGCCTCAGATTATCCCATAATTGTTTCCTTCCTCCTTTGTCATTGAAAGCATAGATAAAGGTAATGTAATTATAATTACTATCATTTTTACTTCTGATCTTCACATGTATAGCTTGTGCAGAACTGTCCAGAATATGCACAATCACCTTTTTGCTATTCCATACAATCCATATTCTCCCTAAGGGGTGTTGGATTTTTAGGAGAAAGAACATTGCAAAGCAGTGTTTAAACGAAGAACTCGATAGAATAACGAATCGCGTACGAAACGCTTTCAGATCAAAATTATTTCGAGGTATACGAAATACTTCAATCGGATAAGACGTTAATTCAGAACAAACACTCGAAATCATTATCCCAACTCATACCACGAGACTCCTTTTATAGAATCGAAAATTTCTTGATCAGACATGACCGTTTGCGTAAACGTACGCATACGTTCGCGCGGAGAAAAGGTGCAAGAGGTTCCTGCGACTTTTGGCGTTTAATTTCGACGTTATCCTCTTGTTGGAGTCCTTTACTGTTTTGGACCCCGCCAGGGACTGCCGCCCCTTGGACCCCGCTATCCGGGAGCTGCCGCCCCCGGACCCCCGCTATCCCAGGGGCTGCCGCCCCGGACCCCCGCAGTGAAGTATATCGTTGAACGAGCGCGCACTCCGCACCTCCGAACTCGTTTGACAACGTCTATTTAAATTCTTGTCCGATCGAAGTAAATCCAATTACACAAAATAAATTGATGACACTAAAATCACCAACAAGGGGTGGTGCTCCACATTAGAGAATGTATTCCAGCTACTAAACACTTTTTCCTTCACAACTTCCTCTTTTTGGTAAACAACCAGATTAATAACGGATCTCCGTGATGATGCTGAATTAAAGGAAGCAGACGGGATCAATAACAATGTGGATGAAGGAAATCAATTGAAAACCTATGCAGAGGTGGTAGGTAAATCTGAAGAAGATGAAGGTAAATTTATATATATTGAAGCTGATGAATCGAATGGAAATAAATTTGCTAGGCTTACCAGTGACGATGTTATACTATCTAATACTTATTGGGATGATG